AATGTCGAGTTACCCGATGTCCCCCGGGGGACACCGGGTAACTCCGATGTCCCACGGGCCGATGTCCCACGGGGACCACCGGGTAACTCCGATGTCCCACGGGGGACACCGGGTAACTCCGATGTCCCACGGGCCGATGTCCCACGGGGACCACCGGGTAACTCCGATGTCCCACGGGGGACACCGGGTAACTCCGATGTCCCACGGGAGGCCACCGGGTAACCATGCCCAGACCCCCCTTGCAATGTCGAGTTACCCGATGTCCCCCGGGGGACACCGGGTAACTCCGATGTCCCACGGGCCGATGTCCCACGGGGACCACCGGGTAACTCCGATGTCCCATGGGGGTCCACCGGTTTACTGAATAATGCCGAATGCGCCCCTTGCAAGGTCGACTTACTCGACGCCCCTCGGGGGACACCGGGTAAGTGGGGGGTGTGGAGCGCACCCCCCGCTTACCCGATGTCCCCCAGGGGACACCGGGTAACTCATGCCCGACTCCCCCCCGTGCAAAGTCGAGTTACCCGATGCCCCCCCCTCGCCACCGGGTAACCCGTGCCTAACACCCCCCCCTGCAAGGTCGAGTTACCCGATGTCCCCTGGGGGACACCGGGTAAGTGGGGGGTGTGGAGCGCACCCCCCAGTTACCCGATGCTCCCAAGGGGGGGCGCCAAATAACTTATGCCCGTCGTCGTCGTCGTCGTCGTCGTCGTTGTCGCCGGTCGTCGGTCGCGGGCCGGAAAAATTTGAGGCTTCGGATCCGTTTCGGGGCCCCCCTGGGCCCCGAGGGCTCCAAACCCCTGGGGAAAAGCAGCAGCAAAACTTACCACTCCAGGTCGAGGCGTCGTCGTCGTCGTCGTCGTCGCCGTCGTCTGCGGGTCGAGAGCTCCAGGATGGGGCCGAAAGCTCCGGGTTGGGGTCGGGAGCTCCTGGACGGGGTCGAGAGCTCTGGGGTCGAAACAGGGGCCAGGAAATTTGGTCCAAGTATCGCTGCCTGGTCCTGCAGGGGCTGGGTAAGGGTGCGTTTACACCTCCTCGTCGTCGTCGTCGCCGAGGAGGAGGAGGAGGGCCCCAGGAGTTCTGTACCACCGGCCGCTGGGTTGGTACATAATTCCTGGGGCCTTCTTGGAGCCCTCTTGGCGCCCTCTTGGCGCCCTCTTGGGGCCCTCTTGGGGCCCTCTTGGGGCCCTCTTGGGGCCCTCTTGGGGCCCTACAGGGCCAACCAGGGGTCCGAGAGGGCTCCGAGAGGGCCCTCAGAGGGTCCCAAGAGGGTTCAGGAGTTCTGTACCAGCGGCCGCTGGATTGGTACATAATTCCTGGGGCCTTCTTGGGGCCCTCTTGGCGCCCTCTTGGGGCCCTCTTGGGGCCCTTTTGGGGCCCTCTTGGGGCCCTCTTAGGGCCCTCTTGGAGCCCTCTCATGGGCCAACCAGGGGCCCAGGAGGGCTCCAAGAGGGCCCTCAGAGGGCCCCAAGAGGGCCCCAGGAGTTATGTACCAGCGGCCGCTGGGTTGTTGCACAACTCCTGGGGCCCTCTTGGGGCCCTCTCGGAGCCCTCTTGGGGCTCTCTTGGGGCCCTCTTAGGGCCCTCTCGGGGCCATCTTATGGACGGCGACGACAACGACAACGACGACGACGACGACGACGACGACGACGACGACGACGACGACGACGACGACCACGACGATGGTGGTGACGACGACGACCACGACGACGACGATGACAACGACGACCACGATGACGACGCGCCCGAAATCAGCCGACAAAGCGACCTAGTAGTTAAACCGACAAGGTGTCCTTCTTTTGGCGCAGCGGCTCCGAGACAGCCTGCAGGGCAGCCTCTTTTTGGCCGCATCGGCTCCGAGAAGCCTGCAGCTCGGCCCCCGGTGACATTTTTTCGGCCCGCCCTTTCAAGGCCCCACGGCCGGCTCTTGGGTCGAGGAAGAAGAGGAGCAAAACCAGGAGAATCAGGAGCAGGAGGACGAGGAGGTTGAGCAGGGGGACAAGGACGAAATGAGAGGCCTTAAGCGGCTCCGAAAACCCTGCAGCTCAGCGCGGTTTGGTCTCGGAGCCGCTTCTGGCCTATCATTCCGTCCTTGACCCCTTGCTCAAACTCCTCGTCCTCCTGCTGCTCCTGCTCCTCTGGTTCCTGTTGATCACCTCCTCGTCCTCCTGCCCCTCCTCCTCCTCGACCCAAAAGCTGGCCGTGGGGCTTTGAGATGGCGGCCCCACAAAACATCACCGGGCCTCGGGGTGATATGTTTTTCCTGGGGGGGGCAAGGGCGTCCGCAGACGAGCCCGCGCTGAGCTGCAGGCTTCTCGGAGCCGCTTCGGGCCTCTGATTCCGTCCTTTCCTCTTGCTCTTCCTCTTGGACTGTTTCCTCGCCCTTTGGGGCCCTTTTGGGGCCATCTTGAAGTCAGCTTGGGCCGTCTTGGGACCATCTTGTGGACATCTTGGGCCGTCGGACAGCCGAAAAAGAAAACGCGCCCAAATTATTCAACAATTGAAGGGAATAAATACAACCATTTGGGCATTTCGGGCTCTCCTGGAGGTCCTCTTGAAGACTTCCTAGACTGTCTAGGAGGCCCCTTGCATCCCCTTGGGGCCCTTGGGGCCCTCTGTGGCTGTCTTGGGACATCCTGGGGCTATGTCGAATCGTATCGTTGCCATCTTGGACGTTTTGGAGCCGTCTTGAAGGCCATCGTGGGCGCCTTGGAATTCTCGTGGGCCGTCTTGGAGGCGCCTTGGGGGCCTCTTGGACCGTCTGGAGGCCGTCATGGGGCCGTCTTGGAGGCCTCTTGGGCGCTCTTGGGGCCATCTTGGGGGTCTCTTCGGCGGCATTGGGCCGTCGGCAGGCCGAAAACGTCAAAATCCATCAAGAGCCCACGGGAAATCAGCTGTCTTGGCCTCTTCGGGCCTTCCTGCAGATCCCTTTGGAGGCTTCTTGGACTGCATTAAAAGCCTCCTGGGGGCCTTTGGGGCCGTCCTGGGCCATCTTGGGGCCATCTTGGACGCCTCGGGTGCATCTTGGGCCGTCTTGGAGACATATTGGAGCCGTCTTGGGCTCTCTTGGAGCGATCCTAGCCGCCTTGGAGGCATCTTGGTGACCATATTGGGCCGTTTGGGCCGTCTTGGTGGCGATGTGGGCCACACCTTCTGGTCCTTCCGAGGGGCAGGCGGTCTGGGCCGAAGGCCACTGGGAAGGGTTTGAAAATCAGAATCTCAGCAAAATGTCTGGCACGCCGTCCAACCCTGTGGCAAGCACAGGGGGCGGCGGATCCAAGACGCCTACGGCGAATCACCGCCGCCCCCAGCCTTTTTGAGAAGCGCCTATGTGGCCAAACGTTGGGCCCCAGCTTGGCCAAGCTATCTGATTATGTATTCCCCCAGCCGCTCCGGAAACTCTTCGGGGAACGCTTGGGGGAGGCTGAGGGGGAGGATCAGGAGAGGGAGGAAGAGGATGAGAAGGAGGAGGAGAAGGAGGAGGAGGAGGAGGAGGAGCCTCTTGGGAGCCTCTTGGGGCACTCTTGTGGGGCCTCCTGGGGGCTTCCCGGGGGGCCTCTCGGAAGCCTCTTGGGGGCCTCCTTAGGCCTCTTGGGGGCCGTGGGGGCGTCTTGGGGGCCTCTCCTTGGCAGTCTTAAATCGTTCCTAGCCCGTCTGACGGGTCTGACGCCGTCGGAAGCCGTCTTGGGGGCCTCTCTGAACCGATGTGGGGTCCTCTTGAGGCGCTTCAGGGCCGTCTTGGAGGCCATATTGGGCGTCTTAGAGGCCTCTTGGGGCCGTCTTTGGGGCCTCCTGGGCCGTCATGGGGCCATCTTGAAAGCCTCCTGGGCGCACTGGGGGCGAGGAGGAGGAGGAGGAGGAGGAGGAGGAGGTTGAGGAGGAGGAGGAGGAGGAGGAGGAAAAGGAGGAATAGGAAGAGAAGGACTGGGAAAAGCAGGCGAAGAGGGAGTAGGAAGAGAAACAGGGAGGAGGACCAGGAGAAGGAGGCAGGGGGTATGAGCGAGGAGACACAGTCGGACAACGAGAGACAAAGTCGGAGCAACCCCCAACCCCCGGAGTCTGGGGGCGCCCCAGAGTCTGAACAGCACTTTTTTCAGATGTTGTGCAATCTAGGCGGCGACGGGGCGGCGACCAGGTGGCGACGGCGAGCACGGAGCCGGCAGACCGACACCCAGGCCCAGACGACGGACGGCGACAAGGCGGCGACAGGGCGGCGACGTTGGTTCGGGGAGACGTAAGGCGAGACCCAATCTGAAATGTGACACGAGCTCCCGCTGCAACCCACGAAGACTGGACCGTCAAAATCCATGACGCGCTCGTCAACAAAATGTCGGTAAACCCGAGTTCTGGGGTACTCGAGTCTTACGTTTCCCCGATTGGTGGCCCCCACCCCCACCTGAGGGGCAACGATAGGGGGGACTGGCATAGCGGGGGATGCCTCGACCTGGAATCGGCGATACATCGCCGAAAGATCGGCGATAGGCCTCCGATCGTGAATCCACATCTTCCTGGGCAGGCGGGGGCTATGGGGCCCCTGATTATCGGCGATCAATGGGCGATGGGGGGTCGATGCACCCCCCCCTGGGCCTCGCTCCTGATGGTTTTCGAGTCACACGTCGGGCCTCCGGCAGCCGATGGGAACGATTCCGGCACTCCCGGCATGCCCTCGGCGAGGCGCAGCGGCCGGAGCGCACCCCGAGGCTGGAAAGCCGCCGCGAAGCGACGAGAACGTCCGAAGACCTACGACCTCGAACCCGAAACGCCCCAATCTCCCCCCCCATCGTTTCCCCACCCCCACGCTCGGCGGTGGACAAACCTCCCTTTAGTAGACCTCCCCTTGGTGAAAACGGCCTGAGACCGAAACAGACGAGCCTGGACCCACAAAAATAACGACCGCGACGCCCTCTCGCGAGCCGAAAACGACCAATTCCTTAATCGACGTGTCAGGGTAGGAGGTCTATCCACCACCCCCATCCCCCGTCAGCACACACCCGGCAGACCGTGGGCCCCGCGGCCAGGGCGGCGCTACCGGCGGCCCGCGCGGTGCGGTGGCGCCCCGCGCCCGGCTCGACCCCGAGGACGGCGCCCACGCCGGTGGTCAGGTGCGCCTGCAGCGCCAGGCGCCCGAAGCCCGAGCCCAGGTGGCAGAGGCCAGGGGCACGAACAATTACATAAACCTAAAACTTCGGAGGCCCGCGCGGATTTCTCGCATCCGCGCTGGACCCTCCCAGCGGCGCCTCCGGCGCCGCCCCTGGCGCGCTCCGCGCGCCATGGAGGGGCTCCAGCGCGGACCCGAGAAGTGCGCGCGGACCTCCGAAGTCGCTATGTTTATGTCATTTTTCGCTCCCCCGGAGGCGGTCGGACGGGCCCAGCTCCTGGGCATCGCTGAGAGGATCCCTGCCCCCGGCGGCGCGGCCTCGGCCCCTCTGACTGCCTTGTCCACCCAGGTGGGGCTGTAGGCCCGTTCCTTCGGTTCCGCCGGGCTGGCCTATCTCAGCGGCGAGCCCGGGGGCGAGAGCATGAGAGGGGGCAGGCCTTGTCAGAAGGCGCCGGGGCTCCTCAGAAACCCTCGCGTCTTCTGGGAAGCCGTCTACGTCTTCGGAGAAGGCTTACTGACTTGTCTGCAGGCCGTCCACTCTGACTTCCCCTCAGGGCCCGCCGCCGACTGTCCCCACCTGGGAGGGTGGGCTGGTGGGGCTGAGATACCACGGCTCAGTGGGGATGAGGATCAGCTGCACGATGCTGAGCTCCGCGCCCCCGACGGACCGCACGCTGTCGAGCAGCGCCGCCCCCCCCGCGAGCGAGAGCCCGTCGCCCGCCAGCGCGCCGCCGGCGTGCCCCCCCTCGGCGTCGCGGTCCAGGAAGCGCGCTCTGGACGACTCGGCCGCGTGCGGCGGGTCGTACCACTGGTCGAAGATGCACTGCAGTGTGCCCTGCCACCCCTCCTGCGAATACCCGCAAAACCCAAGCACGCGACATCCTGACTTGGCTCAATGAGCGGTCCCCGAAGTCCCGAAGCTTTTCCTGGACCCGGTCTTCATCCTGAATAATTGTTTGACGGTTCTGGGGCCCCGCAGGGACAGTCTCGCACTTGGTCGTAGACGTCGGGCCCCAAAACCGTGCGGTGACGCACCGCGTGGTGATCTCGGAATCTTCAACGACCTTACCGTGCGGTCCGTCACCGCACGCCCTCGGGACCTTGGAGGCCCCAGCTGCCCCAGACGTCCACGGAGAACGACCCGCGGCCGGGATGCTCCATGGATGGTCCAGGTCTTCTGACGCTGGCCCCGCCGAGGAACAGGCACCCGCCCGAGCGATGCCGAGTCTGTTGGCCCGCACCAGGGGGGCACTCCCGAGAGGGGTCACTCACGCCTCAGGCGCGGCCGCGGCTCCTCCGAAGGCGGGTCGTGATCGGCCCACGCCCCCCGCAGGAGGGGGCACTGCTCCCTTGCCAGATGTCGGGCCCCACGTGAAGGACAACGGGCGGCGGGGGGGTCGGCCCCTCACTCCGATCTCCCCCTTCTGGGCCAGGTGAGGAGAGGAGGATGGGGGAGGGGGAGGAGGACCAGTGTAAACCCAAGAGGCATCAACGATGTTGGAGATAACCCTCCCTCCAAGCTTCCTCTTCATAGGCCCCTACAACGGTTCATGTCCATTGAGAGAACTGCCTCGTTGGAAAACAGACCTTTGAAGACCATGAAGCATGCCAAAACATTGTTCTCGGGATTTCAAGGCCACGGATCAACCTCACTGCTGCGTCTTGACGATCCAGAACCGTGGCAGAACGCCATTTTCGGGACTCCTACACCGCGAATCAACAGAACTGGTGCACCAGCATGATCCTAAACGCTTACAAAACACAATTTCTGGTACGCTGATCATGGGAATGTGCGCGGCGCTAAAGCGAGAACCACATATTGAAAAGGAACCGCCCTCAATCCGCGAAGCTCTTGCAAATTTCTAAAACGAATGTGCGCGGCGCTAAAGCGAGATTCACATTTTGAAAACCACCCGCCCTCCATGCATAAAGCTCTTGAAATGCTTTAAACGAATGTGCGCGGCGTTGAGGCGAGAACCACATTTTGAAAAGAAGCCCCCCTCAATCCGTGAAACTCTTGCAACTTGTTATGCCGAATGTGCGCGGCGCTATGGCGAGAGGCACCTTGTGAAAAGGAACTGCCCTCTATCCGTGACACTGTTGCAATGTTCGAAAACGAATGTGCGCGGCGCTAAAGCGAGAACCACATTTTGAAAAGGAACCGCCCTCAATCCGTGAAACTCTTGCTAATTTCTAAACAGAATGTGCGCGGCGCTAAAGCGAGAGCTACAGTTAAAAAACCACAAGCCCTCCATGCGCGAAACTGTTGCCACATCTTAAGCCTCAGAGTCATGAATGGTGGGGAAGTCTCAGGCAAATAGCCCGAACCGCCCTAAAAACTGGCCTCGGGGTGCAACAGCGAGAAATGATTGCGAAGGAAAAGGAATAGAGGCGGAGGAGGAGGAGGACGAGGACAGGGAGGAGGAGGAGGAGGAGGAGGAGGAGGAGGAGGAGGAGGAGGAGGAGGAGAGGAGAGGAGGAGGAGGGGAGAAGGAGGAGGAGAGGGAGGAGGAGAGGAAAGAGGAGGAGGGGGCGTGGCACAGCCACGGCCCCCTCTTGATGAAATGTCCTGGCTATCCTCGGAGGCGCCGGCGTCCTGGCGCCCCCCGGGGCTGCACGGAGTGCCCGCGGCAACCCGCCCGAGACGCGCCGGCAGCGGCGGCTCCTCCGCGGAGGCGCGGCAGGCGAGTAGCAGTGGCGCCAGCTGCAGAGAACTCGGGCGGCCGCCGCGGCGCCGGCAGCGCGCGCGGAGGGCTGCCATGGAGAAGAGGGTCCTCCTCCTCCCCTCCCGCCTCCCTCCTCCCTCCTCCCGCCTCCCTCCCTCCTCCCTCCTCCTCCTCCCTCCTCCTCCTCGTCCTCCTCCTCCTCCTCCTCATTCTCCCTCCTCCCTCTCCCACCTCCTCCCTCCTGCTCGCTTCTCTTCCCTCATCGTCCCTCCTCCGTCCTCCTCGTTTCTCCTGCATCCTTCTCCTCCGCGTCCTCCTTTCCAACTCCTCCTCCACTTCCTTCCTTCTCCTCCTCCTCCTATTCTCTGCTTGCCGCCTCCAACGACAGGCTCTGGAGCAGCTGTGGGGCCAAACGGCTGTTGGGCTTCTTGGCTCTCTCCCTCTCTCTCTCTCCCTCTCTATGTTGGCCCCTCCCTCTACCCGTGGCCAGAGGGGATGGGCAAAGAGGAGGGGCGCCTCTCCGCCTCTCCGACAGTCTGTCTGTCCGCCTCTCCCCCCCGCTCCCTACAGTGCCTCTTTCTCTCTCTCTCTCTCTCTCCCTCCAGATCGCCCCCAATCAGAAAGAAACGAAAGCCGCGTGGGGAAGGCAATGAAGAGGAGGAACACAACCCCACGACGCGACACACGCAACACGCGAAGACGCGACAACGATGCCGCAACACACACAAACACACACACATATACACAGACACAGACACAGACACAGACACAGACACAGACACAGACACAGACACAGACACAGACACACACACACACACAAACACACACACACGCACACTCACACACGCACACACACACATACACACCTCCGAGGAGCACACACCCCACTGGGAAGACGAGCGCCCCCCACTCGTGCGCCAGCGCCGGCGGGAGCACCGCTCTGAAAAAAACAGCCGCTCTCACCCATCCTTGCAGCAATCAGATCAAGTGGAGGCCAGTCCAGTGAAACCCTCCACAGGAAACCCAACCCCCCAACCCTGAGACCCCAGGACGTCCATTGACGTTTGTGGTGGAATCGTCACGCTTTCCATAGTAGAGCATTCGAACACCAAAGAACCCAGGGATCCTGGAGGCAAGTACGGTGTTTCTTGGCATGAGTCTCCACTGTACACCAGCATGTAAAAGGCAAACGGCCGACGAAAAAAACACATGCGTGACTCCACATTGGAAAGGAGCTGCTCTCCGTCCGTGTGGCCGTTGCGCAGTCTCACGGTTCTGGGTTCAATGCTTCAGGGAACCCTGGGCGGACACCCACAGTGACAAGGATGCGCCCTCCGTCTGTGCGATCGCTGCAGCTGGCGAGCCATGTTTACACGAGGCGTGGGAAGTCTTGAGCGGGACCCTCGTTCTGAACAGGGGCCGCCCTGCAGATGCATGAACAGGGGCCGCCCCCCTGATGAAACGCGTCAGACAGACTGCGCGGCACTGGGCCGAGAACGCCTCGAGAACGGGCCGCCCTCCATCGTTAGTGTGACTACTGCACGCTTCCCCGACGAGAGTGCGCGGCGCTGAGGCGAGGGCCACGTCTTAAACATGCTCTACGATCCACACACGAAGATTATGCGGAATTTGACCCTGAAGGTTTCAGTTCGGCTAGCCCCATCCACCCCCCAGAAGGGCCCAAGAGGGGGAAGTCGAACTGACCTTGGAAGCTTCTCTCTCCAGAGTAATCGCTCTCCAAGATTCCCAGCATGCCTCCAAGAGCCCCCCAGAAGGGCCCAAGAGGCCTCCGAGAGGCATCCCAAGAGACGCCAACAGGCATCCAAGAAGCCTTATGGCCCACAAGCCATGTACGGTGGCGGCATGGGCCGACGGCCACCAGGAATGAAGATCAGAAGAGGCTCGGACTTCCCGGCGTCGCGAAAATGCAGGTTTGACATTTGGGCTCCGTGGCCGTCGAGAAACTGCTCGGAATGAAAAAAGCCAGCCCCCGAGTTTACGAGGTCCAGACGTTTATGAAGCCGTGCTGCAAAACAATTACCGACGGCGGATGTCTGCGAGAAGCGCGGCAGGAGGCGGGCACCGCCACAAGTCAGGCCAAGGAGTGCCAGAGTAAGACAAGCTGACGAACGAACACCACACACCCGTACCCATATGGGGTGGCGGAGAGGGCCATGGGATGCGGGTCCCCGCTTGACCGGGAGCCCCCCCCCATCGGGGTCCGTCAACCCGCACACCTATAGCCAGTCTGCCTCCCCCCTGCGCCCCCATGGCCTACGGGTATGTGTGTTGTTCGTTCGTTCAAAGCGGGGTGCGACCATTGGCGAAGCCCCTCTCTGCACGACTACGACAAACTACACCTCAAAAGAAGGAGGGGTAGGGGGCCACATACGAACCCTACCCCTACCCCCACGATTTCTGAGGGAAGGGTGGGGTTCACTCCGTTCGAAGCTCCCGAGAAATCGTGAGGGGTAGGGTTCGCATGTGGCCCCCTAGAGGTGGGGATCAGGACGGGAAGAAACAGGAGGACGACAACGACGGCGCCTGCGACTGCGACTTCGACGAAGAGCAGCAACGGCAGCGAAAAGCAGCAACGGCAGCGACGGCGGTGCCGGGAGAGCGGTCCTTGGCGGCACGAGCTGCCGGGACACCACTGCCCCGGTGGAGTCGCACACGAGCATGCCTGGCCCCTCCGCGAAGGGGGGGGAGGGGGGGGGCTGTCCCCCCCCCCTGAGCTTATCTCCCCTGTCTTCCCAGGGAGGGGCATCGCTTCCACTCCTGCTCAGACGTCTGCCGACGTCGTGCCGCCTCCTCCTCCACTCCTCTTCCTTGCAGATAGCTCCTCCCTGTCGTAGCCCGAGGCCGGTTTCAACGTCTCGCCTGAGATATCCTCACCACTTATGGCCCAGCTGCTTAAAATCGAAAACAGTTTCACATACGGAGGGCGGGTGCTTTTCAGAATGTGGCTCTCGCCTCGGCGCCGCGCACATGCGTTCTGAGCACGTGCAAAGGGTCTGACGGACTGAGGGCGGGCCTTTTTCCAAGTGTGGCTTTCGCCTTAGCGCCGAGCGCATTCGTTCTGGCAAGTGCAAGAGCTTCGTGGATTGAGGGCGGGTCATGTTTCACAATGTTGCTCTCGCCCTGGCGCCGCGCGCACTCGTTCAACATTTGCAAGGCGATTCATGGGTTGCGGGCGGGTCGATTTCAAAATGTGGCTCTCGCGCCTTTGCGCCGCGCACATTCGTTTTAAAACATTGCAGGAGTTTCCCAGACTGAGGGCAGTTGTTTCAAAACATGTGTCTCTCGCCTGAGCGCCGCGCACCTGCGTTAGAAAGATTTGCAAGAAGTTCACAGGTTGAGGGCGGTTCGTGTTTTTATTGTGGCTCTCGCCCCAGCGCCGCGCACATTCGTTTTAAACATTTGCGAAAGCTTCACGGATTGATGGCGGGTCTTTCTCACAATGTGGTTCTCGCCTTAGCGTCGACCACACTCTTCCTAAACATTTGCAGAGTTTTCACTGGTGATCATGGCTCGCGTCTCAGAAATTATGTTTTGGAACAATTCTGGACAGTCAGGGCGCAACAGTTGAGTTGATTCGCGGTGCTGAAGTCCCAGGAATGGTGTTTGGCGCGACTCATGATCGCCAAGACATAGCAATTAGGTTAACTTGTGGCGTTGAAGTTCTGAGAATGGCGCTTTGGCAGGCTTCAAGATATTTGCACGATTACCCTCAAACGTGGCAGTTCCCTCAGTGGGAATGACTTCTTGCAGGGGCCTATGAAGTGGGATCTTGGAGGGAGGGTACATCTCAACATCGTTGATGAGTCTTGGGTTTACAATGGTCCTCCTCCTCCTCCACCTCCTCCTCCTCTTTCTCCTCCACCGCCTCCTCCATCACATCCTTCTCCCTCCTCCTCCCTCCTTTCTCTCCTCCCTTCTCTCTCTCTCTCTCTCGTTCGATTATCCACTGGATCTCCTGTTGGTGCCGCTGTCGCCCGTTGCACCAACTTCCCATGCAAAGGAACATCAAACCTCCACCCCTCCACATCTTGCGCGCCGTGCCGTTCCCTTCCTGCCTTGGCGTCGTGAAAGCATGAAGACGCACGCAGAATGAGCCATGTTCGGCCTCCAAAGGCATTTATTGAGCCGCGGGGCCGTCAGAGAAAACAACTCGGGACGGGAGGCTGGTCCTCGACAAGGGGTCCAAATTCCAGACCTCTGATGAGCCGCTTTTTGAATACAAAGCAGAGGGCATCGGAAGTATGGCTCCCCAGATACTTCTTGCCTGACCAGTGAAAATTGGGCACTGGTCGCACGGCTCGTGCCCAACATCACGCCGTCCCCAACCCGCCTCTATCTTCCGGTCGTCGTCCTCCTCCTGGACATCCGCCGACCCTTCGGCGTGTGTGAGACGCTGTCGTTGTCTTCGCATACGTCGTCACCAGCCCCACGAAAATCGAGGAACGAACAGAGAAAAGAGACGTCGTAGGTAAGTCGCCCTTCCCTGACGGGGAGGGTCAGAGGGGGGGGAATCAAAGGGTGGGGGTCCTGGGTCAGATTACCGCCCCATGGGTGTCCCGGCGGGTCCAGGGGGGTGGTCGCTGTGGACAGGGGGACAGGGAAGGGTTCCCCCTGGGGGGGGGGCCGCCCTGGTCCTGGCCCCAGCCCTGGCCCCAGCCCTGTCCCCGACCGCAAGCTGGGCCCCAACTTGACTCTTATGTTACAAACACGTGTGACTGCTCCTCAAGCTTGTCTTCTTGCTCACCCAATTGGAACGCTAGAACCTGACACATCCTCCTCCTCCCCCTCCTCCTCCTCATCACCACCACAACTTCCACCATCATCACCATCATCATCATCAGCAGCATCAGCATCAGCATCATCAGCATCAGTATCAGTATCAGCATCAGCATCAACATCATCAACAGCACCAACGGCATCATCATCATCATCATCATCATCATCATCATCATCATCATCATCATCATCATCATCATCATCATCATCATCATCATCATCATCATCATCATCATCATCATCATCATCATCCATCATCCTCATCCTCATCCTCATCCTCATCCTCATCCTCATCCTCATCCTCATCCTCATCCTCATCCTCATCCTCATCCTCATCCTCATCCTCATCCTCATCCTCATCCTCATCCTCATCATCATCCTCATCATCATCATCATCATCATCATCGTCAGCATCATCATCATCGTCAGCATCATCATCATCAGCACCAGCATCATCAGCAGCAGCATCATCATCATCAACATCATCATCATCACCATCGTCTTGTGTCTCTACTCATCCTCGCTTGTCATCCCTTCCTCCGTCATTCTGACTCCTCGTCGTCCTGTTCCTCCTCCCTCTTTCGTATCTCTTCGCCGTCGTTGCCCTCCGCCTCAGACCTC